GTTCCTTAAGACAGGTGAATCCCCGTACTGTTTGGGGTTATTTTTTGTTGTATTTTTCCCCCAGGGGTTTCCAACAGTTCCTCCCCTCTCATGCCCCGTCGACGAAAGACACGCAACAGTTTTTATTTTGCTTTTCAGTTCTTTGCGAGAGCCGAAGCCAGCAAGCATCCGTCAGACAGACTTCATTAGAAAGAGGAAACAACCCCAGACACCACAATCGACATTATGTCGGTCTCAGTTTCGCGTGCGTTGTCGGCCGCTGTTTTCAATCTCGTGCATTGTGTCGTCCCGTGTCTCAGTCTCATGTGTCGAGTCGTCCCAACTCTGTCTCGTGTCGTCCACCGTCCCAGTCTCGTGTCGTCTCGCGTCTCAATCTCGTGTTGTCCACCCGTTCTCAATTTCGTGTCGTCCCACGCCTTTGTCTTGTGTGTCGTGACCGTGTCGTCCCATGTCTCAATATCGTGAGTCGTGTCGTGTCATTCTCGTACGTTAAATCGTACACAGTTCAAATCCAGAATGTTAGTGGTTACCGGGTACTCTGATGTGGTTTGCTCCTTCTTTCGTATCAAACATCTATCGTCCTCATCTCTCCTCCTTTTCTGTGTATGTTACTCTCTAGTAACACTTCTAATCTCCAGCGCTTAAATGACCTAATTGTGTTGCAAGCGCCGTAAAACTACTACTAAAACTAAACAAAATCCAGATAAGTCGAGTGGTCCGCAAAACTCAAAGTCCCGTAATTCATTTCGTCAACCATCTCGGTCTCGTGTCACGTCGTTCAGTCCCCACATCGTGTGTCGCCTCGTCCATCGATTAAATCTATCGTGCCGTGTCGTCCACCGTTTCAGTCCCGTGTGTCGTGCCGTCTACAGCCTCTCAGTTCCGTGTACTGTATCGTATCGTGTCTTGAGTCTTTGGTCGCGTCAGCTAATAAGAATATATTCGTTCACACTGACAGAACTTGTACGGGAAAACAATGGCCGTAGGACAAAATGGAGGACAGAGATGGCGGGGCCATTATACAGGCGATGGATGGCTTGTTGGTTCGAATAAGATCTTACTAACTACACACTAGAACTCTACATACCAGCCGTGAAGTTTCAGGATAACATTTGGTTGTTGTTGTTTGATTTTTGTTTGGGTTTTGTTTTTGGTTTTTTTAGTTTGTTCGTTTGTTTGTTGTTGTTT